TTCCCTAGGAAATTCTACTTTCAATGTTAGCTGGAAAAAAAAAATCTTACCTGAAATTCTTCACAGCAACATCTTTGTCTACCAAAATTGATCTACAGCCCGGAGTGTCTGCCCCTCCCACCTTCCTCAAGCCCAGAGTGATGTATGTCAGAGATTTAAATTTAAGAGACTCTTTAGGCTGGAATTCTATAGCCTAGGAAGCACGGAGGGACATGGAGACAATGTGATAAGCAGCTTCAAGTTTCTGTACAAGATCTTCCCTATGTGTTTCATTTGAAGTACTTCACCTTCTGAGAAAATACAGTGTATTCATCCATCAATTCATATCCAAGGCAAGTATTTGTTGTGTTAATTATCTACTGAACAATGTTCTATACTAAATTGAAGGTACTGTGGTGAGTATGGTGAGTATGTGGGAAACATTCTACTATGTAACATTAGTGGAATAATTACCAATTTAATACTTAAGAGTACCAACTCAAATATTTTAAAGCCTACAGAGAACACTTTATAGGATAAAGACAACAGGATTTTGTTGTCAAAATAAATAAATCAAATACCTACTAGCTCCCTCCAGCTTATAACTTAAAACCAAACATTACAGCAAAATTCACAATAAGAAAAAATATTAAAATGTAAAAAGTTCTATTAAAAATTAAGTATTATCATTAAAAAAACTACTTTCTAGAATTTTCTTCCAGTTTTCTTTGAATGTTATGTATACTAGATTGGTGCTCTAATGTTCTAATTTAAATGTTAAAAAACACTAACTATAAAAAAATAAAAATTCTGGGCAGAGAAATCCAAGCTAAGTGAAATCACCACAAATCAAATACCAATTTTAAACTAATTACTGAATGTGATGGTAAAACTATTTATCCTGTAAGAAGTTTTAAGGATAACTATTGCATGAAAGCAAACACACCCATTTAAGAATACAATAACTCACAAACCAATTCTGTACACATAATTTCTTGAAGTGTCCAAATTTGGGAACATTAACTCAAATGCTTATTGAGTTCATGCAGGGATGTGTCGAAACCAAGTCTGAAGGGCATCATACCACTGTCTAGCAATTCAGTCTGGAGGCCACCAATCTGTGACTTCTGCATTTGATCTTTGGTAACCAAAATTATCAGTAAGTAGGAAGCAATCTTAAAAATACCCAATTCTTATTTATAAATTTCACCATCATCTATAGCAATGTGACAAAACTAGGGAGACTCTGCATGTTAACAATTAATGAATAGATGTATCTGACAAGAGAAAAGGCTTTAATTTTCCACAAAAGGAAGGAGTCCAAGTTAGCAAAATTTTTCCTTGAAAAGATTATTTTGGATATACTGGTAACACAGAGATATGTAACACAAACAAACATTTTTTTGTGTATTTTTTTTATTGTCTGCAACACCAAAGTAACCCAAATTTCACATTTACAATGAGCTTTTTAATAAAAATATACTATACATATTAGAGATACATGTTATACAAGTTTTTGAAAAGTAAACACATACACTTATACAGTAAAGAGAATAAACTGAGTTGCTATTATCATTAATATTCCTTCTCTCCTAAATGATCAACAACTGTTACCAATAGCTTTTATGAAACCACCACTATCCTGTTTTGGAGTGTGTGGCACTAAGAATGGATTTAAGAATGGATTTCTTCAAAAATTAAGTGATAATGAAGTATTACCGTGCATTATATAACTTCATATTTTCAGACTACCAGTTACTAAAATAATCAGGATCTCTATAAGACGGAGGTTTAGTTCTCTACAAATTTGGTAGTGTGGTGGTAGCTCAGCCCAATTCCATAAACAGGTAATCATCACTTCCAAACTAACCACACTTAACATCTGATCATTCACAAAATTCTTTAAGCCAATCCTTGCAGAACTGCATTGCCTTTTCTCCATATCATCAGGCCTTACTACTGAATTAAAAATTTTTTTATTGGGAGTTCAATTTGCCAACATATAGCATAACACCCAGTGCTCATCCCTTACTACTGAATTTTGGGAGATCTGATGAACAGTTGTTTGGCCCCTGCTACTTTAAAAACATTCTTGCCATGTTTCAGAAATTAAGATCCAAGAACTCAGTTAAGTCCCAAGGATAGGTTCATCTTTCCTTGAAAGAAAACTGAGTATCATGAGTGAGAATACAGATATTATGCTATTTCAAAGAAATACCATTATGACTAACATGTACTTCCTCATTAAGCCAAGTGATAGAACTTGAATATGTGTGAATTTCTGACTTGGTCTAATCTACCATGAAAATATAGGAGGCAACTATGTCAAGATACATTTTTTCCCCTAAAAAGTTTGCTTCCTTTGCCAACAAATAGAACAGTTTAAAATGAATCATAGCTAAAGTACTATAATGAGAATTACAAAGTATAGATCTTCTTGTTTAGATATTTCAAATATGGCCCAAGACACTCCTTACCTGTAATAAGCACCCACCATCACCAAAGGCCCACATCAGTCATTTTATATACATAAGCCCACAGAATCACAACACCCTGGTGTGCCATTTTTCTTTTTTTTTTTTTAAACAGATTAAGAAACTGGAGTTTCATATCATCTTCTAGGCTTAAAGTTTTCTGGTACAGCATAGCATTTCTTTTTATTATCATAAGAGAAAACATTAGAGCACCAAGAAGAAAAGTTGAAAGCATCTTAGAATTCTAATATTCTATTACTTGGTTAACATATCAACAATATCCCAACCTAATTAGTAATCCTCAGTGCTGCAGTATTACATGTGATTACTGCATTTTTTAATCAAAATGCTGGAACTGTGATTCCTCTTTTGGATAAATCTTCCTTTATTTGCACACACATTAAAAAGTCTCCTTTCTCTAAAGCTAAAAATTTATGGGATATTCAAGATTTCTAATTGAAGGAAAATGAAAGGTTTTCTTTCTCATGACTGGAACTAAACTGTTATTTTAGTTAAAAGTACTTATTTTAACAAAACAGTTTTCATTTTATGTCACATTTTGATCTTTCCAGACTTAGGACAGCCTTTAATTTCTAAATTTTATTTTGAAAGTTATAGACAAAGATCATCATCAGAAGTAAAGTATAACAGCCCTGCACTGAAAACCATCCATCTATCCGTTTACTTAAGTAAGAAATGTCCCTCTCTCATGAAAATTCTATTCTAGTACGTATTTGGGAGAGAGAAGGCAATAAAGACATAAAAGAGGGATGTCAGATAATGACAGATGCTAAGAAATATAATTATTTTTCTAGCAATGCTTAACTTCCTAAGTTTGTTTTTCGAGGTCACCAACTTTTGATCTGTGTTTTATTTTGTTTCACATGTTGGATGCAGAGTTTAAATTATGCATCTCAGTAGTGATAAGAAGTAAAGAGCAGAGTCTTCAAGACCTAAATGTTAAAAATTAGAGGCAGGCTACTTATTCTTCAAGGTTATTTGAAAGTAGTGGTTATTAAACTCTTGAGGATGAAGAAAGCTTTCATTCAGTAAATTTACTAACACCAGAAAAAAACCACAAATGCATGCCATTTTGTAAGGAGTTTCAGGTGACCTAATATCCATGGATGCTAGACTAGGAAATTTCATCACAAAGATAATTCACAATCAGTGTCAGTGTGAGGTGGAGGAAAGGGGCTATCAGAAAATACTATCCAACTCAGATTCTGTGATTACTATGCAATCATCTTATTACAAATATGAAAAACAAAATGCTAACAAAACAGATCCAAAGACTTTAAGGTTTCCTGGCTCCTAGAACAATGTTCCTTCTACTACATTTTCATTATGGTGTAGACCTCTTAAGCAACTTCCTCATTAAACAAACTACTTATCATTATGAGGACTACTGCCACATTACTGGTGACAAATTTTAATCCCAAATCCTCTTTTACCATTACCCAGTCTGTGTACTAAGGGAAATAAAAAGCAAGTTTATTATCAGACTAAGCTCAGTCTTAGAGAGGGCAGAAGACAGCATGCTATTTGAAAACAAATTGATTTTTATTATAAACGTAGTATATGCACAAAGTAAAAATTTCCAACAGCACTGAAAGGTATAGACAAAAGTGAAAGTCCTGCATCACAAACTAATGTTCCATAGTCCTACATCTCAGAGGCAACTAATGTGCTCTTTCTCACCTTAAAAAAAAAATCTAAGATTATGAAAGCACACATGTGCACATACATATACCTCTGAAAGATAAAATGGGCTCACAGGACTAGAATGTTATAATACGGGGGATGAATTAACTATCCATTAGGGGAATCAGGTGTTAATTATACTTGGCAAAACCACTTCAAAATACAGTAATTTATTTAAAAGATGGTCACCATAACAAGTATATGAAATAACCATTTATAATTCAAGCAAGCAAGGGTAAAGCCTCTTAAAGATGTAAACAATCTAAATCATACTTCCCTTGATCATAGTAAAACTGTGGGTAAAGAGTACAACAGATAAGCTAGCAAGAGAAAATTGAGGGGTGAGAAAGCATTGCCTCAGACTGTACAACTGTCACTCAGACAATAAAGCCATATTATTACAATGTATCAAAGAATTTCTTTGCTAGCCAACAGAGAATGCTGCCACAGCCCAGGGTTTTATAAAAATTGGTCCAGACAGGAAAAAATTCTAAGTTGTCAAATAAGTGCTATCTCTTAAAAAGCTGGATGTCTGGGGTTATATCAATCACGGACTTCGTAACCAATTCCTTCTCAGAGATTCATCACTTTCCTATACCAAATTAAGATGTACAAATCCACACTTTTCTTCAGGACAAACAAACATGATTTCATCTTTGAGGTTGTCTCTTGGGCTACTCTTGGTAAAGACCAAGTGCACATATTTAAGAGGAAGATCTTCCTCAAAGAAAAATATCAGTCTCACAGAACATTTTACCAATGATAGCATTAAAAAAAAAAAAAAAAAAAAAAACCTAACTTGGGTGGGGGGAAAAAAAACTAATGATAAAAAAATTAACTTACCAAGAAGTGAAACAGGCTGGGTTACAGGAGGGGTGGGCAGATTCGTGGGTGCAGCAGGTGGCACAGCAGAGCCATACATTTTCACACTGTCACCAGACTCGGCGTTTCCTCTAGCCCCAGACACCACTGTTGGAATGGGATTTCCAATAGATAAGTCTTTTGTAGTGTCTTCATTTATACCAGCGATAGTAGCTAAGGAATATAATTACATCAACATGTGAAGCTGAATAATTATCTCCCCAGTCAACATTCTTTTGCCATACTATACACCCTATATTGGTCCATTCTCCCTCCTACTCCCAACTCCAAGAGGACGAGTGAACACAAAGGAAAAACATGCTTACAGTTTGGGATGCTTATTGGTGGAGTGTGAGGAGGAGGAATGGATACTGGTGGAGTTATAGGAGGTGGGGGTCCAGGAGGAAGAAAACCTAGAACGAGAAAAAAGTCAATTTATGATGTGTACCTTATTTTGGGCCCTAAAAAAACGTCGTCTTAACTCAGTGTACCTGGTGGCAAATGCATCGGATTAAATCCTGGGCGCAAAAATGGTGGAGGAGGTGGTGGAGGAGGAACACCAGGGCCAAAACCAGGAGGGGGAATGCCCAAAGGAGGTGTGAAAGTGGGCGGCTGAAGAGCACCAACTACAGGAGGACCAGGCTGATGTGGTGGGACCTGAAGACAAAGAAAAAATAATGAAGACATGTTCCCATCCATATGGTAAATGGAGATGAAGAAAAGATCTTGTTAAAAAAGTTATTTCTAAAATTGTGCTTATTGTGTGAATACATTTATATAATAACAGATGGTAATTAGTGCCCACTATAAATGACAGAATTCAAATTTTTGTTCACTACTCTATGACAGCAAATTCACGTTTTATCTCATGAGCATCTACTGGTGTTCTGAGAATATGGTATGTTAAAAAATCCATGAAAAAAAAAAGTTCCATGGTCAAGGTAAGTGTGAGAAATGCAACTCTAAAAGCTACCTGGCAATTTAGTGCTTAAGATCACAGATTCTCTACCTTCTCCCCTTTTAACTAGCTTTGTGACCCTGAGGTATGTTATTTGGATTAAAGAGATAATACATGTTAAGTACTAGTGCCTGTCACTTAAACACCCAAAAAATGTTGCTAGTATTTAAAAAAAAAGAGAGAAAGAGAGAGAGAGAGAGAGAGAGAGAGAGAGAATCAAATTTAATGCATTAGTCAGATTTCTTTAAATGAGTGATGCTATACATTGAATCTTATTTAGAGCCTCTGCTGGATGGGCATGTCCAAAAGATCAATTAAAGAATTTGCCAAAAAAAAAAAAAAAAATTGCCAATGTAGGAAATCAGTTTATAAAATATGACAACTAATGTATCAAAGCATAGAATTTTCTCCTTACACAGGGAAAATCAAGGGGCAAGGCAACCCACTTTTGTGATAGCTCAGATTTATCTGATTCAGATTTAATCTGAAAAAAGTGAAAAAAGGTACAGGAAACATGCTGAGTATTTAACATACGTTATCTCATTTAATCCCCATAACAGCTGTGACCTAGGAACACCAGAGCCAAAGCCAAGAAAGAAAAGGGATTCTGTGCATTTATAGATAGGAAATTAAAACTTAGATTAGGTGACTTGCCCAAAGTCACCTTTGGAGCAAATGTAGAAAATGAACAGTGGAGCTGGGATTCAAACTATGTTCTGTCAGAATCCAGATTCTCTCCTCTGAAGTAACACACTGACCAGATAGCAGAGGTTTAAAAATATACCTTCATGTTAAATGGCCATTTATTATTAAAAAATTTCATGATAGCACCACAAATTGAAAATTAAGAAATTCTCAAAAAACACCTCTTTTCCCCTCAAAACAGGGGCTTACTGGGATAAATACTTTTCAAGTTTCCTCAGAACATAAAAGTCCCCAAAGAATATAGAGATCCAATAAAAGAAAACAAGAGGAAGACGAATATAAAAAATGCTATTAGGTTTTCACCTCAAGTCTGAAACACAATGAATAATCTAGATAGATGTAAGGCAATATGAATTTATTTTGATTTTATTGTTTATGAAAAAATATGTTGAGTTTATAAACAGTTAAGTTCAACACACTAAAATATGAACTAATATGCACATTTATGTACTCATGTCTTTGAACATTAATCTAGACATACATCTAAGTTTCAGAAAGGTTTATCTTTCAGACACAAGTTTAAATAAATAGTGCTCCAAATATTCTTACCTGTGGAGGTGGCACTGTTATAGGTGCAGGAACAGGAATAGGAGGGACAGGCACTGGTAAAGGTTTAGGTATGGGTGATACTGGTTCTGTATGTGAGGTTTCTGCCCCTCCATTTTGAGCAACTTCATTTTCATGCTTCTTGGGAATTCCTTTCCAATCTATGAGAGTTAAAGAAATTTAACAATACAAATTTACCATTTTCAGTTTATATTTTAAATCTAGAAATTATTTTTTAAATCCTGATTTAAATCAGCATGATTATTATTAAAGAAATACCTACGGGGCAGCCCAGGTGGCTTAGCAGTTTAGCACCGCCTCCAGCCCAGGGCATGATCCTAGAGACCTGGGATCGACTCCTACATCAGGCTTCCTGCATGAAGCCTGCTTCTCCCTCTGCCTGCCTCTCTCTGTCTCTCATGAATAAATAAATAAAATCTTAAAAAAAAAATTCCTATGCTTACAAATATTAATTATTTAAACGAATGAACAATAACAAGCAAAAGAATGCCAATTATGCCTGTCACACAATTGGTAGGTGTTCTTTTGCCTAAGTATTAATATATATGTATTAATTCAGTGAATTCTCCTAACCATCTATAAGTAGGTTCCATTATTACTCCCATTTTATATATGAGGAAAACAATTTGGAAATCAAGGAAAACAAGGTCACATACCAATAAGTGGCAGAAGCAGGACTCAACATATACTTATCTGGCTTGAATCTATGGTCTTAACCACAATAGTGTACTGTCTGGATTAAAAATTCCAGGAGGGAGGAGTAAGGTTCTTTTTACTCTGATCACAAAGCTTGACACACAGGAGAGTCTTGATATCTATGCCTGAACAGAAACCTTACCCTACCCTTAAGTGAAAGCATCATGCACCATGCGGAAAGAGGTCAAGGTATGGGAATGGCCCAGCATTGTTCCACTACCTTCTGGCTCTTGAACCAACTCCACTTGCTTGAAACTCCTTTAATCACTTACTCTCTTTTGCCATATCACCCTGCACTCCTCCTTGTCCACCTCTCTATCGATCTCCAGGTCATGCCCACACCTGCTGTTTTCCCCACTATAATCCTACTGTTTGTCAATTTGGCATTTTTAATATTCAGGCCACAAGTAACTATACATATTTACTCTCGACTGCTTCTCTAAACATTTAAAGGCTTTCAAAGAAATTACTATGAAGCACTGAATTAAAACACAATACCAGTAATGTTCAGTTTGACTCATTTGATCCATTAGAGGTTTTCACAGTGAAAAATCCTACTTAAGATCTATTTATACTATAATGATTAACCCAATTAGTATTATTTATGTCTGAATTTATCACACTAAATAGAAGTTGTATTAAGGGCAAAGACTGTATCTGTCTTATTTACCATTGTTTCCTCAGTTTTTAATGGAGAGACTGGCACATAGTGGTTACTTGAGAAATCTCAAAAATCACTTCCTATTGTGAAGTACATTTTTCATATGTACAATCAAGAAAATAGATGAATCTTAAGAGAAATTAAATACTGCTTTACCTGGATTAAGTGTATCACTGTCCAACATCCCTCCTTCACAAAAACTCTCCAGTTCTTCAGGCTTGACTTTGTCCCATGGAATATAAGTAACACCCAGTTCTACATCCCAATACTGCTTATAATCTGCCTTTATTCCTTTGTTCAAAGCCCAGGCAATCTACAGCACCAATAGTTAAATATAAAAAGAAAGGAAAGGAGAACATCAGTTTTGAGAGTTAACTGTTCCTCACATTTCTAATCACTCAGACCTGACCAAAAGAGCAAAGCAATCTGGCCTCACTATCCCTGGATTTCACTTTGACGTGAGGAAACTGGTTGACCTTTTCTCCTACTTTGTGCGAATTTAACCAGCATTACCCCCTTATCCACTCCTCCAATCACTCACTTCTCAATTAGCCAAAATAAAACTTAGAGAAAAGGAAAATAATGTTATCAGGAAGAGGCCAAATGAAGTTCCCTGCACAGCCCAGCATACTGGGGACCACTTCCCAAAGTCTTGGGTAGCTTAGAATTTATATAAGATCAGACAAAAATCCTTTTGCGGTGCAATCAAAGGGTAGAGCAGAGTGTTATGACACTGAGGAAATGCAGACTCTGGCCCCTAATGGAAGAATATCCATGTACCTGTATCTTTTTCTCTATCCCATTGAGTATTTTAAATAGTTTATTCTAAGAATGAGATCGCAAACTTTACTCAACTGGAAGAGCATGTGACTCTCAATCTCCGGGTCATGACTTAAAAGCCCCACGTTAGGCATAGAGATTACTTAAATAAAACTTTAAAAAATTTTCAAAAGACGTATAAAATCCAAGAAATCTTGAATGACAAAATACTTTACTAAAAGACATTATATTGGGCAGCCCCAGTGGTGCAGCAGTTTAATGCCACCTGCAGCCCAGGGTGTGATCCTGGAGACCCGGGATCGAATCCCACATCAGGCTGCCTGCATGGAGTCTGCTTCTCCCTCTGCCTGTGTCTCTGCCTCTCTCTCTGTGTCACTCATGAATAAATAAATAAAATCTTAAAAAAAAAAAAGACATTATATTAAAACACAATTAAAAATACCTTGATGAACCTATCTGCATTTTTTGTTAAAAAATGAAATTCCACAAGAACCTAACATTTAAAATGTTAACATTTAGGAGATAACCTCTTTAAAAAAGATACATAGGAAATACCTCAGTGTCCAAAATTAGTTTTTAGAAAGCCAAGCAATATTATGTGTTAAAATTTTTAAAAAATGCATTACAAGGTATAAAACTGTACCTTTATGGATTTCTGGTTCACTTTATAGTTTCCTCGGCTCAGTTTCTGCAGGGCACGATAAGCATCTTGCCTATGAACCATAACAATATAGGCACAACCTCTGGGAGGAATCATCTGCTCCAAAACATTTTAATATTATAAAATATAACAAAACCAAAGAGCAATAGAATAAATAATAACCAGTTCCAACAACCCCCACTCTCCTGCCACCCCCTCCTCCCCACCCCACAACAAGACAGGTTCTATAATCCGAAGTTAACGTATCCTAAACTGGCAATTCAAGTTTGGTCTCAACTGCCAGTTTTTAATAAACTTACAGTTCTCCAAGCTTTGTTAATATAGTTTTCTAGAAAAGGGTTTCAAATTAAACTTGGTTACCTAAGAAATGTGGTTAAATAGAGAATTCTAAATATGGACTCAACACCTACACTAGCCACATCTTCTACAAAGCTGTGCAAATGTAGCTTGGGTCTCAACTCCTTAATTTCATAAAATGACATTAATCACACCTGTCCACTGTCATTACATAATTTAATAAACACTCACATTAATTGATTCAATTGGACCAAACTCTTCTAAGAGACTGGCAACATCCTGTTGAGTAGTCCTTTTGTCCAGCTGTCCCACCCAGAGTGTAGTGCTACAAACTTAAAATAAAATTATAATCACAAATATATACATATTCGGTAATAAGCACTGTAACTTTGTACAATAAAAAGAAAACCACTGTAGAAAAAAAAATGCACAAGTCACATAATACTATAAGGTTAAGTGGTAAATCCTATATACAACTAAAAACATTCTAAAAAACTGTGGGGAACGCCTGGGTGGCTCAGTGGTTTAGCACCTGCCTTCAGCCCAGGGCATGATCCTGGAGTCCCAGTATCAAGTCCCACATCGGGCTCCCTGCATGGAGCCTGCTTCTCCCTCTGCCTGTGTCTCTGCCTCTCTCTTTCTCTCATGAATGAAAAACAAAACAGAACTGTGGTAGTACTTCCATAAATGGAATAGGATAGTTAACAACGTAAGAGTTGAAAAAATCTGGCTCATTTGTGGACAGATCTAAAGACTTCCTCTATGAAAACTCGGGCCAGAGATGCAATAATCTGCCCAAGGTCACCGTTGGCAAGTGAGCAGCAGAAGACCTAATCCCAACTCTCTCAATCAACAACCAGCCCACACTTTCCTCCACTAATACCCCTGTCCCTTACAGACTACCAAGCACACCTGAATGGTTTTTCTCTTATGCTGTGTCCTAGGTAATAAGCCTCCTGGAATCAGAGGCTTTATATATGCTCTACTTGCATTACAGATTAAAATTTCAATAATAACTATAACAACTACTTCAATAATAACTAGTAAATCTCAATAATATAACATACCTTATTAAATTTTAAATACATGATGAGATTCAGGAGATAATGCAAGCTAATATATTCTGTAAGCTAAATCTTTATAAAAGTTCATCTGGAAAAAAATAAAATTTCTCCATTATGTATAGGAGAACTAGTTAATTGCTTTCCATTTCATACATTAAATTCAAGACATTACTTTATTCCTTACCACTGTTTGGTTCACTCCTTATTACTGCCTTACATCTAGCTTAACCATCAAAGCAAATTCAAGGGTGTACACCAAAGCACAAACAAGAGACAATAAAGCTTTATTATTATTTTTTTAATAAAGCTTTATTTTACTAACAGTTATAAAACATTTTAAACCCAGGACATGAAAAAAAGAATTCAAGTTTGAATGTAAAGGTTAATTTACCACTCGCAGTTTCTGGTTTGATTTGAGGAAGCCCTTTTTGTCGGCGTTCTCTTTCTTTTTCTCTATCTCGCCTTTCTTGGGACCGAGATCTAGGAGAATGCCGGCGTCTATCTCTGGACCGAGATCGAGAACGTCGATGACGGGACCTTCGAGATCTAGAGCCAGATCGAGATCGCCTTCTTTTTGGTGACCTAACATTTTCATGAGGTGGAGAATGGATAGAACATAGAGAAAAAACTGAAAATGTAAGCAGGTATTAATCTGAGAAAGAAAAAATGTTAACTACGTAGTTTAATGTTTGAATATGTAATAATTCAATAGTGGAGAATTTGTTAAAAAAATTTTATATGTTGTAAGTTAAAAAGCATGCATGTATTTTAAATGAGGTTGCTAACTTTTAAGTGTCTCTCATCTTTGATAACTCCGCACTACGGTTAATTATGTACTTGGGAGTTTAAAAAGCTAACTGTCATCATTGAGAAAAATTGCTTATTGGTATCTATCTTTTCAGTTAACTTCTTTTCTGCAACAATTAAAAATGTTATGATTATAGTATTACTAATTACCTTTTCACTTTTGTTGGCTGATAAGCTTGTAAAGCAACTTTGAATACATAGTTTCTATCATTTTAAGTATACACGCATGCAGGCATTGGAGCAACTCAAGGGGAAAAGCATGGGTAAGATGACTGACCTTAGTTTTTTACAGAACTACTTCTACTCCCACTCTACACATACAGGCATACAAATATATCAAATGTTATTAACACTGTGTATCTAAAAATAATCCATTTTCATTTTAATGTCTCCTAAAACATACAGGATTGGAAAAACATTTTTTTATCAATTACCTGGATGCTGACCTAGATCTTGACTTTCTGTTATCAGACATGTGCCGCTTAACCTCTTGAATACAAGGCTGTTCTACTTCCATTTCCTTTAAAAAAACAAAACAAAACAAAAAAAACAACCACACATCATTAAATGAGAAAACTGGAAATTAGAGAGGCAAGATGACAACAAAATCTAAAAAAAGCTAAATTACAAATCTCTTGCCTTGACAGTTTTTTTCTACTTGCTTGACACCACATTACTACTTTAATAATGACTGCCCCCCATCAGTGAGGGAAAAAATTTTTATATGGTTCACAAAATTAGAAGAAACACTTCTTGACTTCTAGAAACTCATAGAAGTTACATACAATGTTACTAAACCATTGATTACAGTGGTGAACCAGGCATTGGTTAAACATTCTATACTCTATCTCAGTCCTCACAGAATCCTATGGAAATGGGTGTTATTAATACGACCACTTTTCAGATGCTTCAGGCACAGAGAGGGTGAATACGTGGCCCAATGAACGAACTTTCTTCACATTTAAAAATGAGGATCACAATCAAACAGGCAGGAATCTGTACATTAAATCAAGGAAAATCAATTTGAGAATAAAGTTTTACCTGATGTGCCTTCTGTGTAAGTGGTTCATTTTGTGCCTGGAAAGAAGCTTGGAAAGGCTGCTGCACGGGTGGAGTTGGAGGAATCACAGACTGAGCCATGGGAGGAAATGGAGGTGTAGGAAGAAGGCCAAATCCTGGCATCTGTCCATTAGGAGGAAGTGGAACCTTTTGTTTTTCAAGAAAGTGTGTGAGTAGATTTTAAATAACAGCTACCAAAAATAATTACGAAAAATCCTTAGTTACTTGATATAAAACTAAAATATCTTCAATAAATTTGATCAATAAAATTGATCAATAAAATTGATCACTATGTAGTGACACCCAATGATTAACCATTTCCATAGGTATAATATATATTTGAAGAACTGTTACATATCTAAGTACACAGGCTAAAAATCCTATAACTTTTTTTTTTTAATTATGAATACACAGGCTTGACTTTATATATTTAAAGACAATTTCATTTACATGAGGAACAATGTGACAGACTAAACTTTAAAGGTCAGAGAGGTACTGCATTGCAAACTGTCTCCCTTCAACTTCAAAGGCCTTTTGGGAGGTAGAGTGGCATTGATGTACAGGTTCATACTTTTTAAAAATTCCAAGGGGAGTTTCAATTAACATGCCTACTTTTAGGGTTTAGAATACCCTAATAATAAACCACAACATAACACATTTCTGCATGTGCCATTCCAATACCAACAATATTAAAAGTATAATTACAGGGGCCCCTGGGTGACTCAGTCAGTCAAGCGTCTGCCTTCGGCTCAGGTCATGATTTCAGGGTCCTGGAATCAAGCCCTGTGTCAGCCCTATGTTGAGCTCCCTGCTCAATGAGAGCCTGCTTCTCTCCCCCCAACCCAACCCCCAAGTCCCTCCCCTCCGCTGCTCATGCTCTCTCATTCTTGCAAATAAATAAAATCTTTTAAAAAGTCTAATTATTGTCACAAAGTATTCCTTCTAATTTATTTATAAGCTTTCAGTAACTGTTAAACATATTTTAAACAAGCTTATAAAAGACTTCCCAAACTTCATTCATCAATAAGTCATTAAAATCACAGTATTAACTTCCTGTTAGCAAATTACAGAATGGACCAAACATAATACACATAAGAAAATGAATATGCTCTGAAGAGATTTCTAAGAACTCTTTCTTTTTTTTTTTTTAATTTATTTATGATAGTCACAGAGAGATAGAGAGAGAGAGGCAGAGACATAGGCAGAGGGAGAAGCAGGTTCCATGCACCGGGAGCCTGACGTGGGATTCGATCCTGGGTCTCCAGGATCGCGCCCTGGGCCAAAGGCAAGCGCCAAACCGCTGCGCCACCCAGGGATCCCCTAAGAACTCTTTCTAAACCAAGACTATGAAGTAGTTATTTCCCAAGGCTGGTTATAAAACAGAATCTACAGAATTTTAATACAGATTCTTTAGATTTGACTACAGTAGTGGATCCCTATACCTCTATAATTTAGCTGTGTAGTCAAGTTTAGGAAATTCTAAATAGAGGATTTGCTGAAATAAACCCAAAAAAACAAACCCTTACTAACTTGAGGTTTTCCAGAGTACTTTGTTCCTTTCACTGCAGATTTCACAAACCATATTCCTGAATGCTGAGAACTAAAAACCCTCTACAGCATCTCAACATTTACACCAAAAAAGGCTCAACACAAGGGAAAGAGCTACACCATTAAGCAAGCCAGGTCCCTGAAACAGAACTATAATCTCTCTCTAAATGATTTTAACAAAAACACCTATTATTAAATTACAAGCATGTAATATTTAGTATGCTTGTTTTAATTAAAGCTTTAAAAAAAAACTCAAATCAATTATATACTCAACAGCTTTGATTGCAGCTGCAGTAATACTTAGCCAAACACACAGCTAAATATAATGGTCTGTGAAGTGCAATCCATATGCTCTAATGAATAGATTTTCACTTTAAAACTCAGCGGCAAGAAAAATGTGTATACCTGATGGTGCACTGGATCCTGCTGTATTGCCATAATTCGAGGCTGAAACTGATCCATATTTTGATGTTGTGTATATGCTGGCTGCTGCATGCCATCTCCAGGAAACCCACTAAAAAAAGATGAGCAATCTTTTTATCCATTCAAAAACACATAAGATTCTAAGCCACATTTTTATACTAGAGACATTAAGAATGTGTTGCTCAGGAGTCATTAATAATCAGTATCTTACTGAATCATGTGCTTGCCTACACTCATTTATACATTCACCATTGTTTCCAAAATAAAAGCCATTTTTAACTATAAATCTGGTAGGATCTCCTCCCCATTCAAGTGAAGACCCGTATCATAATTTTAAAAAACAATGACTATGTGAGTCCACTTACACACATTTTTTTGGATATAGTACAGTATTATAAACATATTTTATCCTCTATTATTGTCTTAACATTTTTTTTTCCTAGCTTACTTTATTGGAACACAGTATGTTAATACATATACAAGCTGCGTACAGGTTCGGCCTCTGGTGAACAGTAGGCTATGTTTTGGGGAGCCAAAAGTTATGATGTGGGTTTTCAACTCTGGGCAGGCTGGCACACCTAACTAACCACCATGCTGTGCAAGGGTCAAATGCACTTGTGTTATACCTTATAATGATTCCCAAACTCTGTACCCACCGAGGAGTGCAGGAAAGAAACTTACAAGGGTGCCTGTGGAGGGGAAGCGGCAGGTGTGGTGGTGGGCGCGGTGGCGGTGGGCGCTGGAGGAGCAACTGCCACAGGAGGTGTGGCGGTGGTGGTGGCGGTGGTGGCGGCGGCGGCGGCGGCGGCGGCGGCGGCGGCATCTTCCTTCTTTGATTCTTCCACAGCTTCTGGTTCATCATCATAATCAAATCTATCAAGTAGCTTCTGGAATAGGTATACCAATATTCCATTTTAAAACTGGTATGCGGGGGGGACATCCCTGGGTGGCTCAGTCAGTTAGGTGTCTGCCTTTTCAGCTAAGGTCATGATCCTGGGGTCCTGGGATTGAGCCCTGTGTTGGGCTCCCCGCTCTGTGAAAAGTCTGCATCTTTCTCTGCCCAACCCCCATAATCTCAAATCTTAAAAAAAAAAAAAAAAAAAAAGATTTAAAAATTGGGATTCGGATACACTACACAAGACTGATAAAAACAACGATATTTCCTAAGATCTGTGATCCAGCACACTGTCATATACCATCTCACGTTCCCACTCGCCCCTTAGGATCTTGGTTCACAGACAAACCACTGCCACATAAATGCCATCTGAAAAAGATTTGCATGTATGAAAATGGGTATACATTTTCAGTTAACTGTAAAATGTACCAAGACCATCTTATCTAATTAATCACTATAAATGCCTAAAGAAAAATGTCTGTATGCTGGTTGCTCAAAAACATACTGAGAGGACCCAAAAAAAAAAAAAAAAAAAAAGAATGGCATAGACAGGGACATGAAAATATTACTACCTGGGCACTAGTTTCTTCCTTAGGACTTCACAGCTCATGTCAGATTACCAGAAACAAGGAGGAGAGAGAGAGAGGGAGGGAGGGAGGAAACCCCAGCACTTCACAAGATCACGTGTCTGGAAGAAGAGTCATTTAAAAATAAGATGACCTCTGTTCAGAAAGGGAGGAAGGGAACACCACAAACACCTACTACTACTTCTATTACTACCTACTGTGTTTAAATACCTACATATGGTATTTCATCACACAAGCCTGCAACATAGACAAAGTTTAGATATAGTTTCTTCTTTTTACAGACAAGGAATCTAAGGACCAGGTGATTAAGAAACATTAGTAGAGCTGCAAAGTCAGCAAATGGTAGGAACTAGGATGTGGACACTACTTCAAAACTCTCAGTCCCTGGCATTCAACAAGCAGTCTTTTCCCTCAAGCTGTGCCCATTCTGGCCATAGATTTTTTCAACTTCAAATTCCTAAACTTACGTTGTTCTGTCTAGAAATTATGGTTCTACTTTACTAGACAACAGATTCCTAAATTAGAAAGGAAAGTCTCAGAAAGAAAGAAAGAAAGAAAGAAAGAAAGAAAGAAAGAAAGAAAGAAAGAAAGAAAGAAAGAAAGAAGTCTCCTTCTTGGACAACACTTTCTTTCTTTGTAATTCTAGGTCATGTCATTAAGTTATTATAACTGAGCGATCTAATTATGACCCAGGCAGACACCTTGTTGTTTTACATACACTGGCATATCTAGCCCTCACAGCAACAGTTAAGTGTAGGCATTACCATCACTACTTTACAGTGCTGTACACTGAATATATAAGTAACTCAGCGTCAAGACAGAGTCAGTGACAGGAGTCAAAATTAAAGCTCAGATTTAGATTGTCTAAAAAAAGCAAAACCTCTGGTCTTTGACATTTATCATCTATGGATATGTTCTTTAAAGTTTTTGGATTTCTACCTATTGCTTTGGAAAATGATTTGAAGCAATTACAAAATTAAACTGAGATCTAAAAAGACATTTTTTTACTTTTTAGGAAAGTGAACATCTAGGAAGCAGCCTAAATGAATTGTTCCCAATCAAGCTGTTCTACTAGCTTAAAACAGACCTTTTACTCACAGGTAAAGCAAAGAATTTACTTTTCTAAATTTCACCTAACTGACAAAAACTGACCAACCAACCCACTTGAGGTATAAAATAGAGGAATTACAATTCAAATTAAAAACAACAACGAAAGGATTCCATCAGCATTATTGTTATTCAACATTTTTGGTTGTTATTCAACATTTTTGGAAGTCCTAGTCCTCAGTACATTAAGAAAAAGAAACAGGCATAGATATTGAAGAGGAAAAGTCATATTTAGTAGCTTTCCAGAAATCTGAGAACATCAACTAGAAAACTAAGTGTTTAATATCATGACCATTTAAAAGATTAAAAAAATGAACATGAAAAATGACTAAATACTCTGGGAATAAATGATGCAATCAACGCATAACACTTGTATGAAAAAAGATTTTATTTATTTTTTTGAAAAAAGATTTTAATAGAGATAAGCTCTTGGTACTTCTTAAATTAATCTATAAATATTAAAATTTATGCTAAAGTTCATCTTGAAAAATATGTTGTAATGGTTAATTGTATCAATTTGGCTACCTTACAGCGCCTAGCTGTTTGGTCAAATATCCATGTAGATGTTCCTGTGAAGGTCTTTTAAAAATGTGACATTTATTTGAATAAAGAAACGCCCTCCATAATTTGGGTGGACCTCAACTACTCAGCAACAAAGAAACCTTGCCCTGTAGAATTCAGACTCAAAACTGCAACGTTAACTCTTACCTAAATTTCCAGCCTGCCTTCTGCCCTACAAATTTCAATCTGCCAGCCTCCACAACTACATCAAATAATTCCTTAGAAATCAATCTCTCTCTCTCCCCTTTCCCTCTAGTGTGTGTGTAATGAGTTTTTTCCCCTGGAGAACACAGACTAAATACATATGCCATAGAGTCTGAAATGGAAGCAGTGTGTGTGATAAACTTGAAAAAGAAATATAAAACACGTATATAAGCCTCAAGTATTTAAATTGTTAAGATGCAGAAAATATATATTAGTGGGACTCAACAGTCCAAATTTCACAAACAGAAACAAATGAGAATTTAAAATTTAATGACAAAAAGTGAGGGAGAAGTGGCTATTTCCAAAAAGTTCAAGATTCAACTATCTTGGGACGCCTGGGTGCCTCAAGTGGTTAGTGGTTGAGTGTCTGCCTTTGGCTCAGGGCATGACCCTGGAGTCCCGGGATCGAGTCCCACATCAGGCTCCCTCTGCATGGGGCCTGCTTCTCCCTCTGTCTATGTCTCTGCCTCTCTATGTGTCTCTCATGAATAAGTAAGTAAAATCTTAAAAAGAAAAAAAAAAAAAAAAGACTCAACTATACTGAACCCGTAGTTCTAAAATAGGTTCCAGATGGAATGAAGAGATAAACACAAGAAAACAAAAATAAAAAACTACCAAAATAAAAAAATACTGGTGGGAAGAGTTTTCCTAAACTCTGAAAGAACATACACAAATCTGTTCCAAGCAGATAATTGCTTCTCTTTTTACTTTAGAACTTCCTGTATTATGTTTTTTTCTTGTAAGTATTATTCCTTATCTACTTGAAATTTTATCCAAACTTCTTTTAATCAGTAGTTGTTCAGCAATCACCAAGATATAATGACAACCAGTATTTACCAAATGGGTTCTTAATTTGGACTATCAGTAATAAAATTTTATCTTAAAATCTGGAAAGAATAAAACATTTTAGAGATGATAAAGCTAAAAGATTAACAGTTCTAGGGTTTTTGAACTTTTGTGGTTTTGGCAGTGAGACTGATAAAATGAAATGAGATTTTATATAGTCATAAGCCCAATTAACAGACAAGACATAAAACAGCTAAGACACAGTGGTCTGGGTTAACATTTCTACAAGAAGCTCTGCAAATCCAGCACATCTGTATCCTTAGTTGCAGCTCCTTAAACATGCCTAGGGCCCAACAACCCAGTTGGAAGACACTGAACCAACAAAACAATTTATACATATTGTAAGTAAGTTCTAAGAGCAAAAAGCAACTTAAATGTCAGTAGGGGAATGGCTAAACTGTGTGCTGTGTACATGTAATGGAATACTCCTCATAATAAGCACTCAGTGAAAATATAGAACTATTAACCTTAATGACAACAGAGACAAGAAGATTAAGATCAAAACAAGCAAGTTAAAGACTGTGTATATGTATTTATATATTACACATATATTATGACCAAAAGAAATACATCAACAGGAAGTAAATCCAGAAGAGATATACAGCAAAAACTTAGAGTAGTCATCTCCAAGTCTGGGGGTTAATGGTGAAAGCTCTCCTGTTTACTTTTCTACTTCCTATGCATTGAACATTTTTTGCAATGAGTATATATTACATTTATAACTAAGAAAAATAATCCAATGTTTTGTTGTCAAGGGGGAAAATCTTTTAAACCACAAAACAACAAAATGAAAACCCAGAACATAGAGAAGTACTTCCACAATCCAGGTTGAGTGGTATAAACAGTTAAGGTGGGTTATATAAGAAGCCTACCTTGTCAAATGCAGTTTTTTGCTCAGGTGGGGGGAAAGCAGCTTTTTGTTCAGGTGGCTGTGCAGGAGCTGTCTTTAACTGAGCTGTGATAGCCTGGACCTGAGCCATCACAGCATTGTCAATGGCCGGAGACTGTGGTTTTGGAGGCTGTTGAAAAGTCTGAAGGATCTGCTGAAGCTTAAAGAATGGGAAAACTGATAAGCAACATAACAAAGTATAATCATTGTATCAAAGGTTGATTTACTAGGAAAAAAAAATCTTAAAGGTGACTCAAAATAGCACAGGCACAAAGTAAACTGGAAAAAGATTTTTTTTTTAAAGATTTTACTTACTTATTCATGAGACACACACACACACACACACACACACACACAGGCAGAGGCACAGGCACAGGCACAGGCAGAGGGAGAAGCAGGCTCCACGCAGAGGGCCCGACGTGGGACTCCAGAATCACGACATGGAACTCCAGAATCACGCCCTGGGCTGAGTGCAGTGCTAAACTGCTGAGCCACCTGGGCTGCCCAAGAATACATCTTTTAGTAAAGGTTAAGTCTCTTGTAAATATCAGGGATACAATGTGTGTCATTTAAGGTTAAAAATGTAAGCTGACACCCCAGAAAATGACAGTCAAAAAGAGAAATGGTCTTTTAGCTTTTCCAAAGGTAAAGAAATGTTTTCTAGAATAATGTAAAAATCATCTCCAATCCAAATAATTTTGAAGTTAATCTGAAAGGCTAGAACCATGAGCAGCGATACCAACCAGTCAGCAGTTCTGAACTTCTCTTCACAGGGGTATTACTACTGCTCAGTGTGCGGTTCCCTTATTTCTCACTTCCCCCATATTTCCTCTGTTATCCCAATGCCATTACCTTCCTAGCGAAGGTTTTTCTAGGTGAAAAGTAGAAATATTTCCTCCCTTAAATGTGCTTGTTAGAAATGGAAAATAAAAACTGACAATTGTACACATAACTGCAAGGAATTTATTAATCTTTAGATAGGTAGTTTACCTGTTGACCTTGAGTCGTCTGAAAGAGCTGGGCCACAGCAGCAAAAGCATCAGAGCTAGGCAACTGTGGTACAGTTGGTACAGAGTTTGTAGTGGCTTGGGGAGGTTCAGAAGAAACTTTAACTGGAGGTGGAGGTGAACCTAAATAAGAAAAGGTCATTAAGATCTATGAAAACTTTAATCTCCCAATTTTCCTTTTTAAACTCCATTAAGCTTTTTTATTAAAGTAATATTCCATTCAGTTTAACATATAGGAGAAATAAAGATACTATAGCAAATACATGAAAGAGCATATTTTTATTAGAAATAAGAACTGTGGAAAGAAACCCATACCTTCCAAGATATAAATTCAAATTTCCTTCTTATGGAAAAATTCTACCAATATAAAAAGACTCCAAATTTTCTCATGTACAAAGTTATACCATTCTCTAAGTACACAGATATACTTGGCCATACCTTCATTATTCGTAACATTTTCTGCTACTGGGGCAGCATTACTGGTTCCTGCAGCCATGTCCAAAAGAGGCTGGATAATTTCAATTTTGAATACTCCATTTTTTTGCCAAAGGTTCAGTACACGAACTATTTTGCTCTGTTATATGCAACAAAACATGAATATACAATTAATATTTGCATAAATAATGTATTATACCTTTAACTAAAAAAGAAATAAATCACTAAGCTAGTATTTCCATGCTAAGTCCACTTCATAAACAGAAAAAATAAATTTATTTTTAGAATTACAACCTGTTAAACTGTTCTAAATCAGCCTTTCTTCAGTAGTATAAACTGGAGTAAAAAACAAAGAAAGGGGGAAACAAAGGGGAGGAAACAGAAAAGAAATACAACCTAATCAAAACAAATAGAATAAAAAATTGTTATTTCAAGTTTTCATTATATTTATGATTACAAAGAAATACCATCACTGACAAAAACAGCATCTTAACAAAAGTAAATGAAGTGAAGAAGAATTTCTTCAGGATGATTTTAACAGTTAAAATATTTAAGAAACTGGTCTATAACGGATAGGTAAGTTGCTTTACAGACCAGTATATATGAAGAAGATACAGAGAAGACGTGTTATTCATGGGAATAATCCTTATGTCCTAATCAAGAAATTATCTTTTGTATATTTTTTCCCACAAGAACACTCCTCCAAGAATATAAATACAGAATCCACAACATTCAAATTTATACACTGTTTCCTGTAAATGCCTTTATTCTTCATTCTTCAGAGTAGATTTAGCAGTGTGTTTCTCCCACCTATTGGGAGTTCAATTATTATGTCTTTAATGTTTTTCTACCTTTATATAGTACATAATAAAATCAGCTATAAATATGAGGAAATAAATACTGTAGTCTGATTGTTAATGAATAACATTTATGCTCCAGCCTCTCAAAATGGTGGGGAAAGCCATCAATTATTGGTCCCCTCCTTCTGAAATAAGCAACAATACAAGTACTGCCTTTCTCTATGGCAGAATTTATCACTCAATTACAAGTAAGTCTTTCCAACAATGTCTTATTTAAAGCTCCTTTTTCAACAGTACATCATTCCTGAAGGACTTCACAAGAAAATACACAAAGATGAGATGTTCACAACAGAAAACGCTGGGCTTTGTTTCAAGTTCACAAACATCATCATATAATTCTCTTTCAAATATACATTTAAATAGGCTTAAAGATGGAAATAAGAATACAAGTTTTAATTTAAAAATTATTAACTATACCTTATCTTCAGATGGACAAAGATATAAATATTGGAATGTGGCGGTTATGTTTTTAGAGAATCTTGGCCCAAAAACATCTTTATCAGTTCCAAACTGATGACGAGACTGTCGTACAATTGAGTCAATTACATATAATCCAGGAACCTTGTACTCTGGTTTACACTACAAGATAAAGATGCAAGTTAATAAAAGCAAAATCACAATTTGACATCCATTAATCTCCCTTTTTAAAATAAAACTCTGTGTATCTAGTGATTGTTTTTATTTAGAAACTGCTCGAATATTTAGCTCTTCTTGGCTAGCTTATCAAATTTCCCACAGGTCTGTACCAAACTACCAATTCTTTTGATACTTCAGATCCCCAGTATTTTACTTTTTTCTGACCCCTCTAACTCCCCACAATTTCCCAGAATCAACATTACTTTACCAATCCCTAAGCCACGTCCACACAAATCCAATTGTTATGATACTCTCTACTCTAATTCATCCTGCTTAAAAAAATAATTTTTAAAATTATCAAGAAGACCATTTCAACAACATCAATTTTAATTCTACTAAAGTACAGTACCAGAGAAAAGAAAAACTAAAAGGAGAGATCATTTTTGGTCTATCAAATTAACAAGATAAAAAGAAAAGAGAAACACACACCTGTATACATTTCTGGTGGTACAACCTTTATGGATGATGATTTAGCAATAAAAGCAAAGTCTTATTTGATCCAACAATTCTACATTAAGAAATTTATTTTAAGGAAACAATTAAGATGCATCTAATTTTTTCTTCCAGGCCAGCCACTGAAGTGAAATGTCCAAAAGGAACTGAATAAATTGTGGAAACAATCATGCAATGAAATTTTTTGTAGACATTTTATGATAAATTTAGTGGGAAAAGTAGGTTATCAATGTCAGTGAGGTTTTTTTTTTTTAAGATTTATTCATGAGACACAGAGAGGCAGAGAGACAGGGAGATGGAGAAGCAGACTCCCTGCAGGGAGCCCAATGTGGGACTCCATCCCAGGATCCTGGGATCATGCCCTGAACCAAAGGCAGACAGACTCAATCACTGAACCACCCAAGCATCCGAATGTCATTGGTTTTTTTATGAACGTATGTGTATACAATAAAAAAAGAATAGATCCAAACATAAATATAAGAGTAATTTGGGGTGGTCGCATGTAGGCAATTTAAAATTTTTTCCACTTTACTTATTTGGACTTTGATTTGCTACTATGAAAGCTTCTACTGATCATGTTTTTCGTCTGTTGGGACTCCTAACTCCTACCTCTCAGCTAGTAGTCAAAGGCCATGGATCAAAGACAACGTTACACACATGTATTGGTATGTACTACATGGCACAGCTCCAGCATGGGGGGAGAGGACAGATGTATAAACCTGACAAGACAGATGTGTGCTAATCACATGGTTATAAAACCAGATACAACTGCAAAACTGAAAAATGATTTATGATAGAAGCAGGGAAAAGCTGGAAAAGCTTTACAAGGTGATTTCATTTGAAATACTTCAAGATGAGTTAAAGGTCAACAAAGTAGACAGGGCAAATAGCAGAGGAGGCACATCAAGCTCAGGGAAGAGTCGTGTCAAGTACACAGGAAACTTGTTGAGTGCCTACCTCAGACTAAGTGCTCAATCAAAAGAACTGCTATAAACGTTTGTTAAAAATACAAACCTGAGTGATTAAAAAGAACATCTAATGACAACTTTCTTTGTAGAGTGGCTTTAGAAGGAAGCATGCAAATTTACAATTTACAAAGTAAATTACAAATATTGATCATAACTAAAATGAGATACTAATAAAATGGATAGTTACCTTTTTGATGAACTTTTCTACTATTTGAACTACATGCTTATAAAGCTGAAAAAAATTAGAAGAAAATTACTGTACAATTTATATACTTCTATATTTTCAGTAATGGTATTAGAAAATACTTAAAACCTTATAATTTGCACAATCTGAGTAATTCTCAAGATAATACTGAATGACCCATGACAATCCCTAGTCAATAAGTGAACAATCATAAATTAAAGAGAATTAACTAAAACAGAAATTACAAAAATCCCTCCAAAAAGGAGGTCTTTTTCTTAGATTCTTAATCAGTAATCCTTAATAAAGCAGCGTATCAGACAACTTTACAAAAGGGATAAAAACAGTGGAACTGGAACTAAATAATGCAGTTTCTAATATGAGTCACTTATTTAAGGTGTGATCTTGAGGAAAACATTTAACTTCATGGAGCCTAAGCTTTTTTTTTTTTTTTTTTAAATATATGAGGCAAATACTTGGCTGATTTATGACAAGAATTAAGTAAAACAAAGGAAAAAAACCCTTTTCATTCCCCTGTCTACTTCTGTTAATTCAACTTTCTGACACACACACACACGCAACTATATGAGGCAAAAGATGTGCTAATTGGCTGGACTGTGTTAATCATTTCATAATGTGTTATGTGTATCAAACCAACATGTTCTATTATATTATTAAATATATTCAATTTTAATTGTCAATTATACCTCAGCAAAGCTGAAGAAATATAAAGGGGAAATACTAAACAACAAAAAAGGAAAAAAGCAGGTTTTGAAATAATATGTTACAGTTCGAACACACTCTATTATCATGTGCCTTCAGCAAAAGCTAGTTAGAACTCTTTGATTCAGGCCTAACAGAATGAATTCTCACATTTCTCAGTTATTTTCAAAATTCTAAAACATTTTTTGAATTAAATATATTTATTTTATTCTTACCTTAATAGCTTTAATAGCAGCTTTAGTGATAAGAATCATCTTGGCTCGAGAGATGGGAGGTTTCATATCCATAAGTGAAAAGAGCTTAAAAAACAAAAATAATTTAAAAATAAAGGTAAAGTCAGAGGTCAATTCCCTCCAGTCCTACAAAGATAATGTAATTTATTAACTAAAAGAATAACAAACTTTTGGAACTAAGTTGAATAATTTAGCTAGTAAAGAAAATCCAAGTGCTTTCCTACATACCTGCATCACTGCTAAGAAAATACAATGGGAAAATACACTTAAAATAACAAAAAAAGAAAAAATATTAAGAAATTACAAAACCTATAACTGAAAAAAATCATAAAATTTTACTGAAGAGGGATCCCTGGGTGGCGCAGTGGTTTAGCGCCTGTCTTTGGCCCAGGGTGCGACCCTGGAGACCCGGGATCGAATCCCACGTCAGGCTCCTAGTGCATGGAGCCTGCTTCTCCCTCTGCCTGTGTCTCTGCCTCTCTCTCTCTGTGACTGTCATAAATTAAAAAAAAATTTAAAAAAAATTTTACTGAAGAACACAAAAATAATTTGAATGGAAACATACTGGGGGTTTCTGGACTAAATGTGGCAATAATATGACTCAATATTTAATGCAAACCTCACTGAGATTTTGGAGAACTTCAAGTAATTCTAAGGTTCATTTGGAGAAAGATGTATTCAATCAGGCAAGAAATTTAAAATGCTGGAATTAACAATTTCTTGATTTAATCAGCATAAAAATAGTGCCATATTCAACAAATCTCACAACAGAAAGTCCAACAATCACGTGCTCTCCATGAGATTTAACCACATATGCATACTTCTTCCCCCAAAGTTTAAATCCAACCAAGACTTAATGAGAGACCACAGAGTTACAAAGATAAAATTCTGACATCAAGAAGCTTACACCTTTAAAAAAATTTTTTCTTTTTTTAAGATATGAGAGAGTGTGCGCCTGCGCCCACTCATGGGACTCCATCCCAGGACCCCTGAGATCATGACCTGAGCCTAAACCAATAGTCAGACACTCAATCCACTGAGCCACTCAGGCGCCACTGTTTACTTTTGTTTAATCATGGGTATGTACCCTAGGACTTCTAAAAAGGTAATCTGTGGGTTCTTTTTTTTTTTTTAAGTGGGCTCCAGCTCCAGTGTGGAGCCCAATGCAGCATGGCCTGAACTCATCTCTAGCTAAGATCAAGGGCTGGATGCTTAACCAACAGAGGCACCCCTAAAAAGACATTATGAAATAATTTTTAGGGCTTTAATATGATCATATTTCCATTTCTTTCCAAATTATGCTGACATTCCAAATATGGAATCTCTAAGACACAGATCTTTACTAGATCACTAGGAAGCTAACCTAAAGTACCAAAGTATAAATAGCCCCACAATTGGCAACATATCCTAAAAATTCAGAGGATTTTCACAGCTTTTCACAACTACAAACACAATGGTAATATAGAAAACAGTAAGCATAATATTAGAAAAGGTATGGAATACCAGAAATAATCAATACAAGAACCAGATACTCTGGTTTAAGCAGAGAAAGGTAGAAATTTTCCTTTGGTAATACTAAGAAAATGGGAGAGGGCAGCCCTGGTGGCTCAGTGGTTTATCGCCACCTTCAGCCCAGGGTATGATACTGGAGACCCAGGATCGAATCCCACGTCAGGCTCCCTGCATGGAATCTGCTTCTCCCTCTGCCTGTGCCTTTCTGTGTGTGTGTGTGTGTGTGTGTGTCTGTCTCATGATTAAATAAATAAAATCTTAAAAAAGGGGGGGGGGAACACAAAGATATTTACAAAGTGATTTGTTTAAAAAATGTGATTCTCTAAATAAGGTCATGATTATTATTTATCAATGTAATAAAAATTATCCTTGAGAATAAATGCCCACTAACAGATAACAATTAAAAAGGAAACCGTAAACTTTGAGACTATACAAACTGATGGGAAATGAAAAAACAAACTATTACAACTTAATTCCAAATTATAAAAATGTAAACAATGTAAAAAAAATATATTGCATGCATTTTTAAAAAAGATTTTATTTATTTATTAGAAACACACAGAGAGAGAGAGAGAGAGAGAGATTGAGAGATTGAGAGAGAGAGAGAGAGAGGCAGAGACACAGGCAGAGGGAGAAGCAGGCTCCATGCAGGGAGCCCAGGATCATGCCCGGGGCCCAAGGCAGCGCCAAACCGCTAAGCCACCAGGGCCACCCTATTGCATGCATTTATAAAGGATATATTCTTACCATTTACAAGCTATAAAATTTATTAAGTCAATAGTTTATTACTGCTGTTCTATTTCCTTCTCTGTACCTTAATGTAGAGAAGGGGAATGCAAAAATGTTTATACGTGGATGTTGAGAATGAACAATGAGAACTATTTCTCTGTCATTAAAAGCTTACAGAATCATATTTTCATGAAGTCTAAGCAAAAGCTAATATTCATGTAATGTACCAAAAAGCACTTGATTATGTCAGCAGTAAGCAACCTGCCATATAAAAACCCCCGCCAACTGAGCACAAGACAGACTAGTGTGCCATCCAATAAAATACTCTGTAACTTGTTAAAAAAAAATTAAATTACAGACTACATCATATAGCAGTATAGCCATTCATGCAAAAGACCAGCAAGAGAACCCTCAAGTGCTATATCCATTATCTAAGAGACAGTGAAAAAGGTGTTAAACACTTCATGAAGAAAAAGATGACTTTTGGAAGAGAGGAGGGAACCAACATCTGAGTGCCTACAATGTATAAGGAAGAATTAAATTCAGTGATATAGAATTTAATTTTATTAACAATTGGAGGAGGTGGGTGATGGGTATTAAAGCAGGTACTTGTGATGGGCACTGGGTGTTGTAAGTGATGAATCATTAAAGTCTACACCTGAAACCAATTTTACCATGTGTGTTAACTAACTAGAATTTATATAAAAACTTGGGAGAAAAAAATCATATTAACAGCTAACACAGATTATCTCCCACCTGTTCTGAATGATGCCCAGGAAATGGTTTTGAACTATACTTCGTAGAATTTATAGCTCAAAAGTCCTAATAGCACATTCATACCTTTAACACAATGCTGCTAAGGAATTAAATACATACAGGACCTTAACTATGATAGGGAATACAGACAAACTATCAAGCAGGCACCTGTGCCTGTCTATATATATAGTACTGACTCAGGGATAACGACAAAAACATACTGAATATAATTTGGGATGCCTACTGAAATGCAGGCAGATATAAAATTAGGGATCTTGGACACAGAAAAGGTCCAGGCTAGAAAATGAAAAGTCACAGAATAAAAGCCAGGAGTACAGGTGAGGAAAAATCTGTAGTAAGAAAGCCAAAAACATATACCAAAAATTCCACTGTGGTATAGAGAAAGGGACTGCACAAATGAACATCAGGACAAATACCAGAAATCAAAGGCATTTGGCACGGTCGAATATGGAAAGGTATGCAAATCAAACTTTGGTGGCTTAAACAGAGAACTGTTTTTGAAAGTGATTTCAAAGTCAACTAGTAAAGAAGTGGCAGTTGAGGGGGTGGAAATGCAGATTTGGATTATTTTTCATTAATTTAACAAATTTCTGAGGGCTTATTAGGAAGTATCAAGTTCAGTGTCTGGTACATTGAGCCATGTGCCTTACAAATGACCATTCTTAAAATACCTCTTACTTGTAAGCACCATGATGCTTCTATCAAATTTAAATTTTTTAGATGTTCTTTACTTTCCTTTACAAATGCCTTTCTTAAATCTTAAAGTTGAAAATCTGTATTTGATATTATTTATGAAGAAAAATACTACAGGCAGATAAGTTTCAAAACCAGAGATTTAAAAAATTACCTTTTAAAAGCTCAATGAATGTTACTAACATTTTACTGACTTCTTCAAAGCACAAATTTATCGGTGTCTACCTTTCACAAGGCAAAAAGGTTCCGAGACATTTAGATCAATGCTTTCATTGGATATAGAGACCCAAAAGTTATGCTGAAACTGATACACCTACCTATAACCATGTGCACTGACACCACCTATTTAAAAAGAAACACTAATAGCCTTTGTGGTAGTTAGATATTTCAATTCCATTTTACAGATGAAAACACTGAGGCACAAAAGTTCAAGAATCTGCTCAAAACTATAAAGCTAATAAAGTGGTAAATTTAATCTGTGGTTCACTACTACACAAAGCTCAAGTTCTTTCCAACAACTACCTAACAATAAAGAAATTATTTAATTAATGCTACATTACCTTGGAGGAATGAATAGCACAGACATTGAAGATGATGACAATAATCTTAGATAAGAAAGAGTTAATTGATATGTTGGCTGAGGAATCTCTCAGAAGTATATGACCTTATGGTGATCTAAGGTTCATACTATAGTTCCTGAATTTTAAAAAACAATTAAATTTCTGTTAAATGATCAGAACGCAAGATCAATAATCAACTGTCTGGGAAATCTTGACTCTCCCACTTGCTAGCTATGAGAAATTGTTTCTTCATCCGTAAAATGAAAATAATAGCCCCTACTTTTTAGGGAAGTTTTATACAAACAACACATATAAAAAGCACTTAATGCAGCACCTAGCACAGAGTAAGTAAGTACACCTACTATTAACACTACACATAATTTTATTGAAAGGAGAGAGAATCCTGAAAATAACCCAGGAGTGTTTTTCAAACTGTGGGTTGAGATATATTAGAATATAAAAATGAGCTTAATGGGTGTGACACAAGTTTTTTAGTGGAATAGAGTAAAAAATAAAACAAACAGCATTGTACACAGCAAGGGTAAGTACTATTTGGTGATATTTCTCAGTTTTTTGTGTGGGTATGTATGCAAAAGCACCTCTCTATGTAAAATTATATATCTTAGTATAGGGGTGACAGTCAAATAATGTGAAAGGCAATGACTCAGAGAAAAATTCTTTTGTTTTAGAAATGAGGAAAATAGAGCCCAAACCAACTGCTGTCAACTTTCAGTAATGAATAGATTCTTTAAGCCATTAACACATTTCTGATAAACTGTGGGGAAAAAAGCAGCA